CAACCGTCAGGAACGTATCCACCATGTGTGACTTTTCCATATTTCACTGTGAGTACCACTCATTGCCCCATTTCAAGCATCCTACAACGATATTCAGATAAAGGAAATGTCAGCTATTTGCTAAGCCAGTCGTGCAAATCCCATTCTCTGGTTTTATTTGAACGTTTGATCCACGCAGCTGAGGCATTTCATAGAAATGTTAAGGCTGGCAATCCAGGCACGTTCGCTAGGAAGTAAGTCCCACTAAATTCCAGATTTCCTTCTGAATGAACTCGCTTAAAGGATTGGGCTGCAAAAAAACCCAGCTTTTGTTTTGAGCACTAATAGGAATACAGTGTAGGCAGGGTCGGTTCGAGATATTGAGGAGAACCGCAAAATGGCACTCTCCCCTCCAGACAAGAAGGGATGACTGAAGATTTATGTCAGGAACGAGAGGGGGAATGAAGATCTGTATCGAGAACAAGGGTTCAGGGAGATCAGCAGTGCCTCCTATTCAACAGTAAGCCACTGTAGAGGCGGCACTGGGGGGGAAAGGGTTACTGAAGAGGAGGCAGGTCCATTCTCCAGGGAACACACTGCAGTTGGTGCTGCCATTATGGCAGTGGATCCTGCCTCCCAAAGAAGTTGCTTCACCTTGCCTCATGGGTGTGAGTGTAGGACTAGCTCTGCCCTTGTAAGACTTTGCCACAGTTAATTAGATAAGATGACAGGAAGGATTTGAAACCTGCAGGATCAGAGATTCTCAGAGGACTGGAGAAAATATGTGAATTATTTGAAAAGCAATTGTAATCAACAAATTACGCTAGTAGGATTGCAAGAAGTTTTGTAAGGAGGACTACGCGAAATATTGCAGAGGAAAGTGTGAAGAGAATTATTAGCGAAGGACTATTAAAATTAATAGTGAAATTAATGAAATTCAGATTAAGCGATGAAGACTGAAAAATCTTCAGATGTGGTTGATGGAAGTCCAAAACATTGTATAAGATAAGAAAATATGTGGAAATTTTATGTATATCCAAATTCATTTAATTATATACTTTAAATATATATTCTTATGAAACTGCAGGTTATTACAATAACTCTGCAAATGTTTTTATCTGTTTGCAATTTATCTGTAAATATTCAATAAACCATTTTCATTCTTTTATAAAAAGTTTGTTATCTTGATTTCTTATTCTTCCGGTAAGTTTCGCCATTTCCATAAGTTTTTGTGCTTTTATCCTGTATTTTTACCCTGAGATTTTCAGATGAATGGTGGTATATAAATTTAATAAACATTAAACAATAAAAATAATAAAGCGGTTGACATCGATAAAACTATACAATAAAAACCATAATGGTGTGTTGTTGTTTTTCAAGGCATCAATTAACCTTTTAAATGTTGGCACAAAAGACACCTGCCGAATCTCCATATGCAGAGTAATCCACAAGGCTAGGCTGATGACACTAAAAGCCCAATTTCTTCTTGTTGTCAAATAAGCCTCACTGATGCTGGGATTGACCTACAATGTTCCTACATATTATCTCAGTGAGGCAATCCCCCAGGTGCCTTGGACTGAAATTGTTCAGAGCTTTGCAAATTACCGTAATCAGTTGTTTTATTCATTGTTTTTTGTTGTTGTTGATTATTGTGCATTATTTTATTATTGCACTGTATGCTGCTGTTTGTACTGTCAGCAGAACACTGGGATATTGAGAAACTATTGTTGCGCATGACGAGTTGTAACTGAATATTCAGGGGAACTACTAAATTTTATATAGTTCAAGGCTGCCACCAATATAAGATGGACCATTTTATGACACAGATTTTTTTCATGGACTAGCAAAAAATGTAATTATATCCGCAAGCCTACTTGGCCTGTTGTGTTTCAGGTTCAGGGAGAAAATTGAAGAATATATCTCAGTAGGATTAGGTTTTGGATATTTTACCTAACCACTGATTTCTAAGGACCAAGGCTTAAGAATGCAGTTTAGCCCTAATTTATTATTTTGAGGGTGGGACTTTTTCTGATACTCACACCTCCTGTGTTGGTTTCTTGAGATGGGTACATCTGGATCTTACAATTACTGGACTCTTACCAGCTAATGTTATTCCTGCAACAGAATGTAAAATAGAAGGCTCACGAAGCATAGGGTGGCACTAAATTTGCCTTGTTTTTTTTATGTTGCCGGTATCATTTACAATAAATTCATCTTCATGTCGACCAGCTTCTTGTTTGTGCTTTGTTTGGGGAGATTTCCGCCGGCGCTCTCGACCTCATTAGATGTCAGATCTCCATTTCAGCTTGAGGTCCTCACTAAACATTGTGTGGTCGTCATTACCGTCTTTGCGGCATAAGCAGAAGAGCCTCTGCCTAAATGTTAGTTGCTTTCGTCTGTCTACACAGATGGGTCATTGTTGTATTTTCAGGCAGTGGGGGAAGGGTTAAGGAGAACTGAGTGGAGAATGCAGTCATCCCCCCCACCCCTTAGCCGAAGAAGCTCATTGTAGCTCTTCTACATTCTTTTGTTTGTAGGCTTTGACAAGAGGATACAGCTTTACTGTTGGTAAGATCAACCCTACGCCTCCTTATTAAGAAACATGTCCCACTGAACTCCGTAGGACTTAGTCTCACGCCAGGGGGCATAGGATCGCAACCACTGGTGAATTTGTTTGAATGATCACGATTACCTACGGACAAATCCCACCCTCTTTCAAATACAGAGAATGACTCCTTAAAAAATAACACAGATCTAATGAAAGCAGAAGGCCCCTGACTCTCCAAAATATCCCAGCATTCATTAGAGACTGACTGGCCTCTAGAAAGAGGATCAGATTTCTACAATTCCTCTGGAAACGGAATTAAAGCCTAATCCTAAACAGAATTAGACTTCTTTGAGGGAACTGAAAGCAATGAAGTTGCAACTCTACATGGGTCAGGGAGGGAATATGAGGAAATGGGAAGTTCTCATGAAAGAGAACTTTCATGGGGAGCTATATTGCTATTTAACTTGTTCATAAACGATCAAGAGTTAGTGGGGAACAGTGAAAGCAGCTAAATTTATGGATGGCACTAAATTATCCAGAATAGTGAAAACCTAAGCAAAGGTTGAAAGGTTCCAAAGGGTTCTCTCCAAAATTAGTAAATGGGCAAGAAAACAGCAAATATCACACAGGATTCATACAGGACAAATAATCTCATTTTCATAACAGGGACAGAGGAGGAATTTGATTTTATTCATGTATAAGGTGAGCCTACCTAATCCTCCATTTCTGGAAAAATAAAAATAAAAATACACAAACCAAAACACAACCATCCTTCAAAATTCACACTTCTCTTAATTTTGCAATGCTACTCTCCGGTCAAGTAATGTATACAAAAAAGTGTGTATTACCAAAATGAACATACAAGAATACATTATTTTAGAGAAAACTGCTTTGTAAAATTGTGTATATTAGGGAAAAAATACATACAAATGTGTCAATTAGAAGAAATTTGTACTGAAATGTTGGTGAATTTTCATGAGAACTTTTTATTTTTTTAAGCAAACTGATGCAGAAATGTAGAAAACTGAACTTATGACTGGGAAAATGAGAAACTTAAATTCAAAGAACCACCCACCTCTGCTTAAAAAAAACACTGAAGGGATCTAAACTGACTATGAATCCCCAGGAACGAGAGGGACCTTTGGTGTGATCTAGCAGTGCTCTTCCACATTCTTATATCTTTAGGTCAGTCTCCATACTGAAGATCTTGTGTATGTGCAGAAAGATGAACACCCTCCAGATCCGTGAGATGGTGTCCTGCCAAAGGCCACCTACCGGGTGGCTTCAAACAGGACAACCAAGTGGTGGCATGGTATTGGCTGCCTCTGCACCTGATTTTTGAATGTCTGGTGTGGCATGCAAAAAGGGAAGACACACTTCTTCAGTGGTCACTCAGGCATTATGAAGAGCAGGTTTTTGAGCCACTCCAGTTATAGTTACAAGACTTCCAATTAAGCAGCAATGGGGGGTGGAATTTTCTCTCTCTCCAGTGCTTCATTTTTTTTGCAGACAATTTTCCATTCCATAACTTCATTAGTAACAATGGATGGCTGTCAGTTGGAAATGAAATATTAGACCAGCTTGGCAATTTCAAGGTTTTTAGTTTCGTTCATTAAACAGAAATGAATGTACTAAATTAGATCACTCCCTAGGACATCAGATTCCCCCCCCCCCAAAAAGCAAATTGAAAAAATTACAATGTCCATAACCCTAAATTGTGAAAATTTGAATTGCACAATATTCAAACTTTTTCCAAAAAATGCACATTTTGGCTACTTAAGTAGAAGAGTTTGGATTTGATATCCCGCTTTATCACTACCCTAAGGAGTCTCAAAGCGGCTAACATTCTCCTTTCCCTTCCTCCCTTAAAACAAACACCCTGTGACGTGAATGAGGCTGAGAGACTTCAGAGAAGTGTGACTAGCCCAAGGTCACCCAGCAGATGAATGTGGAGGAGCGGGGACGCGAACCCGGTTCACCAGATTACAAGACTACCGCTCTTAACCACTACACCATACTGGCTCACCATACTGTAAGTGCAGGGCACTTACAATTTTCAAAGCCTGCTAAATGCTTCACCAAAGACCATTCTGATATCCAACTAGAAACAACTAATTAACAGAAGTTCTTAACAACATTGAGTTGCACATACATGTGCAATAGTATCTTTTTATTCGTCTAAAACAAACTTTTGAAGATGGGAACCAGTTTGCAGCCAGTTACAAATCTTGTGGTTATTTCACCTGGCCTGGAGAATGTCTGTGTTAGTGGAGCCCAATCCTACTTGTGTGGGTGACGGAAACATCCCACGCCCACTGGAAGAATTGCATAATGACCAGAGCTATACATGCCATGGTATGCATCACAAAGAGGCCATTTTTTACTTATTCGACATGATAAAGGTAGCAAGTTGAGACCGTGGTGATAATAAACTACAGAGTTTTTAAAATGATGTTTATTGTATCTATTTAAATACAAGATAGCTCAGCCGGTAGAGCATGAGAATCTTAATCTCAGAGTTGTGGGTTCGAGCTCCACATTCCATAAGAGAGGGTTGTACCAGATGACCCTCACAGTTCCTTCCAACTCTACAATTCTTTGATTCTATGTTTATATTCAAGATAATGCTGTGATTTCACAGCTATTCTGATTTGATCAACCCTGCACTGTGGGTTAAACCTGATCAGAAGGTCGGTGGTTTGAATCCCCGTGACGGGGTGAGCTCCTGTTGCTTGGTCCCTGCTCCTGCTCACCTAGCAGTTTGAAAGCATGTCAAAGTGCAAGTAGATAAATAGGTACCGCTCTGGCAGGAAGGTAAACGGTGTTTCCGTGCGCTGCTCTGGTTCACCAGAAGTGGCTTAGTCATGCTGGCCACATGACCCGGAAGCTGTACACTGGCTCCCTCGGCCTATAGAGCGAGATGAGTGCCGCAACCCCAGAGTCGGTCACGACTGGACCTAATGGTCAGGGGTCCCTTTACCTTTACCTTTACCTGCCACAGATAAATCTTATTACTGTGTTGCCACACTTTGGAGATCAAGGAACTTAAGGTGAAGAGCAGGTAACAAATTTAAATCACCATCATAATCACCATCACCATCATCTCTGCTTGCCATTGGGTACCAAATGTCAGGTGTGCTTAAGCCTCACTGATATCTTCCATGTGGATTAGTGAGATAGGTCCCACTGATTTCATGGTATGCTAAACTGTGCAGATGTGGATTCATATCAGCAGACTATAGCTGGAGAATATACAGTAACTGAATGCTGAAATACTTTGTACTTCAGCTCAGTATACCTGAAGGGAGTGTCTCTATCCCTATCATGCAGCCTGGACACTGAGGTCGAGCTCTGGGGGCCTTATGGCTGTTACCTCATTGCAAGGTTACAGAGAAACAGACAGAGGACCTTCTCAGTAGTGGTGTCCACCCTGTGGAACACCTTCCCGTCAGAAATAAACAACTATCTGACTTTTAGAAGACATCTGAAGGCAGCCCTGTATAGGGAAGTTTTTGATGCTTGATCCTCAGGGTCCCTTCCAACTCTACAATTCTATGATTCTATGTTTTACTGTGCTCAATGTTTTAATGAAGCCACCCAGAGTGATTGGGACAACCCAGCCAGATGGGTGGCATAGAAATATCACCATCATCATCATCTCCATCTAGTTCATTCTTCTGTTTCTGACAGGGGCTAGCCAGGATGCCTCTGGGAAACTAACAAGCACCACATAAAGATGGCCTTCTAGCATTTTTGTTGACATTCATGCTTCTCAGCAGTCACTGCTGAACACCGCTCTTCATAGATATACTGTCCCTGCACATGGATGTTCCATTTAACCATCTAGGTGGATAGCTATTAATAGATCTATGGATCCTCTAGGAATTTCATCTGGTTAAGAGCCATCCAGGCTAGTGGCCATCTCTACATCCCAAGGCAGTAAATTCTGTAAGTTAATTACCCTTTTACTACCCAAGGAAGCCCCAGTTTTTCCTTCAGAGAAGGGACTAGGAACATAGGAATGTAGCAAGCCACCTTATACAGAGTCAGTCCATTGGCTGATCAAGTTTAGCATTGTTCACACTGACTGTCAGCTGGTTTTCATTATTTCAGGCAGAGGGCATTCTCAGCCCTACCTGTAGATTCCAGGGACTGAACCTGGGGCTTCCTGCATTCAAAGCAGACCCTCTACCGCTAATCAGGCCAAGGACATGAAAGCAGGCTTGAGTATGACTGTTCTTGGCCCTTCACCCTGACAGGTCCATTCGAGAACTATGGGAAAGAAAACATTACATTGCTGCACAAAGGTGGTCACTGCAGTTACTCAAGTGAGACATCTGGCTAGCTCAGGTGAGTTCTTTGCTCGTCTTTGTGACAGCTTTGGTTTCTTGGAGCACAGTATCAAAGGCAGTACTTGATACATAACAAAGTACACTTGGATGTTTCACTGACACGCTTCAGCTATCCCACTGTGCTGCTCAGATTTCCTGCAACAGCATGGCTTAGCTTCCTGTGAAAGGCTCCAGTAGCCTTGTCAGATCCACTACTGGCATTGAATACAAGAGGAGCAGCAAGCAGCACTCAAAATATTTTTTCAACCATCTGTCTATGTGCTTAATACGAGTCGCTTGTAGTTCCTTGACTACTAGGATCAGCTTACAAAAAATTAACAGCAGACATTGATCAGCACAAAATACTTGATTATCATCAGGGTTTCCCAAAATTGGGTCTCCAGCTGTTTTTGGACTACAATTCCCATCGTCCCTGACAACTGTTCCTGCTAGCTAGGGATGGTGGGAGTTGTAGTCTAAAAACAGCTTGAGGCCCAAGTTTGGGAAACATTTACTTATTAGAGCAAAGAGTGAGTGCCTCAAGTCTGCATGAGAGCCATGTTAGGGACCAGCCCAAGACATTTTGTCACCTGAGATAGAACAAAAACAAAAAAGAAGGGTTTGCCATTGGTGGGTGACAGGGCAGTGTTTTTCCTTTTCCCTCCTTTGAACCTTTTGACATATGTGGTAGCCAAACTCCTTATGGAAGCCATTCTCCCCCAGAATGCTCTGAGAACAGTCTACACAAAGACCACATCATTCTGAGAGAAGTTTTTGGTGCCCCTTTCTCAAGTTCAAAAAAAAGAGGAGAAAATAAGCAGGAAAAACTATCGGCAAGTTTTTGGTCAATAGTAAGCATGCCTCTAGATATTGTAACAATCCCCATTCACTTGGGTCTTCGAGTGGGCAGTGTTTGGTGCCCGGCGTGGCTGTGGCCAAGTCACAGGGGGGCATCTTCTTCTGGCATGGCTGCAGGGGACGCCCAATGCCTCCCCTTCTGGATGGTCTGGACTGGCTTGCGCCAAAATAGGCCAATCAGGATGGCAGTAGAGAGGACTAAACCAGCCCCATCTCCACAGTATTTAATAGGGCAACCTGCAAAGGATCGTACTGTTACAATGTACCTCACCACAAACTCTCCCTCCCCTTCAGTTTCAGCAGTCCTCAAAAACACAAGCCAAAAGTTTGAGATCTTGGTTAGGACCAACCTCTCTGGTGTGCTCCATTTTTTAAACCAACCAACCTGTAAGCTTGGTATACCGAGAACAATCAGAAAGATATCACCTACCTGCCGTTAGGGATGGAGGAATCTACCTGCTTCTGTTTCTCATTTCTCCAATCTTGAAGTCAGTTCTTCATATTTCTGCAGGAATTTGTAATTTAAAAAAGAGAAAAATCCTCATCGACATTTTAGTGCACATTTCTTCTAATATACATATCTCTGTATGCAGTTTTGGCTAATATGCACATTTTTGCCAGTTCCTCTTGCATCAAGAAGAGGATTTCACCAGCTCTTTGCTTCTCCATGAAAATACTTTGTGCTGTATAAACCGATGGCCCCAATCTGCATCCCACCTGTGTCAGTAGCAAGCTTCCCTTTGATTTTTCCAAACAGCTGCATTAGTTCTGCGGTTAATTTGCACCCAGTTTTCATAGACAGTGAGGTTTGTCCATAAAGCCCATCTTCAAAAAGGTACAAAAACCATGAACAAATTAACAACAATGCATGTGGATGTAAGGTGTGGGTATGTTTTCAACCACTTACTCATCTCTTTCTATGCTTTGGCAATAAAACAAGTTCTTTGATAATAGCTGTGTGTGATTTAAGAGCCACTCAGTAAGCACACTGAAATGTTAGGCACTAGTCATCTGTTACAATGCCCATTCTTAATCACATCAGCATAATGCTTATGATGAATGCTTCTGTTCTATTTTTTAAAAACAAACAAACAAACACACAACAACACATTTTAATTGATTTTACAAAATATGGAAGAAATCATTATTGAAATTACACAAGAACAAAGGCACACAAACCCCTGAGGCATTGATAATCATCTAGCAAAGGAAAACAAAGAAAGAAGGGGAAACAAAACCCCAAAAATAAACATGCTCTGATTTCAGAGTCCGTTCTGTTGTTGTTGACAAAGTTGGGGCAAATCCACCTCATACTTTTAAAGCACAACCAACACACATTTAAAGCAAATGATGCCTCCTAAAGAATCCTGGAAGCTGTAGTTTGTAAAGGGTACTGGGAATTATAGGTCTTTGAGGAGGAAAGGCAATTTTCATTATTCTTTGGAGAATATCACTTGTTTTAAATGTATGGATGGTGTGGTAATTCTAGGAATACTGGAGACCTGGGTCAACTATGGATTTTTCCATATGCTTGCGTATCTCACCATGGTTAGTTGAGCTTCTCATTCTTCATTATTACATTTAATAAAACCAAACTGTGTTGAATAAGACATGTCTTCCTCCGACAAGCCTCTATACAAACAAACCTTTTTTCTATGTGGCCCATGCAGCACCACGATAATTTAATAGGTGTCAAATGCCATCAAAATATGGTTTTAAGAGCTGTTGCTTTAGTCAGAGCTGAAATCAAATAATGAATGCTTATATGTCTATAACACAAGTCTTCTTTCCTAGTTAACCCATTTTCCTCCCCAAAGTGGAAGGGACACACACACACACACACACACACACGGTGCCAGTAGTACCCCCAAAACGCTCATCTTTGCTGGGGGGAAAAAATCTGAAGTCAACACATGTCTGCAAGGCAGCGGCAGCTGTCCAAGTCCTGCAGTCTAGCAGGCAGGCTGCCCAGGCTATAAAATAATTAGTTTCATTTGTAGCAGTTTGTACTGAAGCAAAGAATAATAAGGTCTACATGACTTATGGCAGTGCAGGAAGTGCAAAAACATACAAATGAATTTTGAGAACTAATCTGCATAAGAAAAGACAGTGGGGTGTGTGTGTGTGTCCACATCTGGAATGTCTTTCATGATCAGCTCCATCCAGGCAATGGAAGAAGAGGATGGTTATGTTCTGTTTTCACTGTAGAGGCAGCATAACAGTTCCTGCGAAACACAAGCAATGGATTCCCAAAGGCACCCGGCTTGCCACTGTGAGGATGCTGAACTATAATGGGCTTTTGGCCTGATCCAGCAGGGCCTTATGTTCTTAATAGTCATAATAATAAGAGAGCTAAGGACTCAGCTACATTAGTAAAGAAAAAGCATTTTACGTGCGTCATAACACTGAGACACCAGATGGCACTGTGGAGTCCTGCCTTTCACCAACATGATTTCCCACTATGAAGGTTACAACACGTTTCCCTGAAACGTTTTTGGTTTTTTTAATGTGTCTAGATCCAGCGCTTTCCCAATAGTGATGTATGGAAGTGAGAGCTGGACCATAAAGAAGGCTGATCGCCGAAGAATTGATGCTTTTGAATTATGGTGCTGGAGGAGACTCTTGAGAGTCCCATGGACTGCAAGAAGATCAAATCTATCCATTCTGAAGGAAATCAGCCTTGAGTGCTTACTGGAAGGACAGATCCTGAAGCTGAGGCTCCAGTATTTTGGCCACCTCATGAGAAGAGAAGACTCCCTGGAAAAGACCCTGATGTTGGGAAAGACGGAGGGCACAAGAAGAAGGGGACGACAGAGAACGAGGTGGTTGGACAGTGTTCTCGAAGCTACCAGCATGAGTTTGACCAAACTGCGGGAGGCAGTGGAAGACAGGAGTGCCTGGCGTGCTCTGGTCCATGGGGTCATGAAGAGTCGGACATGACTAAACGACTAAACAACAACAACAGATCCAGCCGAAATCAACACAGTAATGTGTGAGGGAGGTAATGTGTGCGCGGACACAACCAGCTACAGTTTGCATTCTGCAAGCATCACTCTATTCCAAACCACCCCTGGAAATCTGCCTTCAATGACATAAAGATTGCTATGAAGAGAGGCAGTTCCACACCCTCACATCCCATGGCATTTGTTACTTGCTGGTTTTTCTCAGACATAACTTTCCTGGTAGGCACCGTAAGACTCTGCTCCTCTCCAAATTTTGATTCTTAAAGTTTGTGAAAAGAACAGCACCAGAACCCATTCTATTGTGGTTGTAACCTGGTTTGTTGCCTCTTGGAATTCAACCGGATATCAGTAGTAGACTTCGTATTGTAGGTTTCATGTGAGATACAGGAAAATGGCCATTCTCAGTGACTTCCCAATAACTATGGCATTTCCATCTCCCAGAGGTTTGCTGAAGTCCAAACCCTGCTCATCTTTTGGAAGAGTTGTGTTTGGTGTGTGTTTGCTCTTTAGAATGCAGGGCTAATGCTGATACAGGTTTTGTTTTATCTGGATCTTTGTTTACTGTCCTCACAGAGCAAGAACCACCCTGAGACCTCCGAGTATAGGGTGGTATATAAACTCAATAATTAATAAATTCAAGAAGAAGCAGCAGCAGGAGGAGGAGGAGGAGGAGATATGCTGGCAGGAAGGAGTTCAAAATGGACAAAAGTAGTCTTCTCCTGATGCAAAGGAGCTAGATCACCAAGTGGTACCTCCAGCCCAGAAGGCTTGGTATGCTCAGAGAAAGTTCACTAGATGTAAATCTAGCACCGATGATGTTTCTACCAGTGGTAGGATGCAGAATGGGTGTGAAGCATGGGCAGGTAAGAGATGGGCTAGAATTTGTGGGATCCAAAGCCCCTTTATTCCCACCGGAGACTCCAGGAACAGGCTAGAACTGGCAGAGTTACCCACATTGTGACTACTAGCCATGAAGGCTATGCTCTGCCTCCACAGCCGGAGGCAGCAATGCTTCTGAATACCAGATGATGGAAACCACAAGAAGTGAGAGTCTTCTTGTGCTTCACTTTTGCTTGCATGATTTGGTTGGTTACTGTGAGAGAAGGATCCCAGACTAGATGGGCCGTTCACCTTATCTGGCCGGCTTTTCGCTTGTTCTTATGCTCTTCTTGAAACAGATTTCCTCTAGAACAGGCTTCCTCAAACTCAGCCCTCCAGATGTTTTGAGATTACAATTCCCATCATCCCTGACCACTGGTCCTGCTAGCTAGGGATCATGGGAGTTGTAGGCCAAAAACATCTGGAGGGCCGAGGTTGAGGAAGCCTGCTCTAGAATGCAGCTAGAGAAGGAGGAGAGAACTGTTAGGATATAGTTCTGTTCCACCTTAAAAGGGTGTGTCACATGCCTGTTTACATTTCCAGCACAGGCTTGCTGGGAACTTCCGTTTGTATATTGCTTTTGATTTTGCTGTTTTGCTGGACACAAAGGGAAGCAGACATGTTTTTTTCCTTTGTTCCTGAACTATACTGAATAAATGCTGTAAATATACTTACACATGTCTCTGTCCGCCACTTCCGTTGTGAGAAGATTTATTCATTCTGCTGATAGAGAGTGCCAAGTCTCTAAACATATCTGAGGCTCGTGTCGCTGTTTGATGCTGTTCCAAGGGAGACCGGTGATCGTCCAGCTGCCGGCCGGTGGCT